GCCTTTTTTTCACTGGGAAATAGAGTCGGAACAGCCCGGTTCTGAATTGGAACGCAAAAAGAACTTTTTGGAAACCCTGGANCCTATGGAAAACTGTGCCTGACTACGTTGTAACAGTTTTCCTCGACACCGTACAAAATATGCAGCTGAAAATGGCCACTTCAAGCGCCTTTTTTTCACTGGGAAATAGAGTCGGAACAGCCCGGTTCTGAATTGGAACGCAAAAAGAACTTTTTGGAAACCCTGGAAGTGTGCGATCCGGGCAGCGTGCCCCTTTTTGAAATCCAACACGTCGGTGTCGAGCACTCCGCTGTGGAACAGAGGCACCTTGGGTCTGGTGCCTACGGCTGCACGTGCGCACATGGTGACCAAAAGGAAGGGTCGCTATGTTGCGACCGGCGTGACAGCCAAAGGGAAGGCCAGGACGGAGAAAGCGAGCTTGGCGAACATGCTGCGCGCGAAGGAGGCAGCTATCGCTGTCCGCGAAGCAACCGTCGCCGCTCGCGAGGCCGCGATGGCGGAGGCAGAGAATGCTCCTGGGCACAACGACATCGTACACGATGATGGCGTCGAGGTCCAGGAGCAGCTCGAGTTGTCTGCCGAATTAATGGAGTGTATGGGTGACGAGGATGCCGACGGCGATGCAGAGGTGTAGACATCAACGAGATTGCAACTGGTTTTGTTGCGTTGGATTATTGGCGTATTGGCGTTTGCTTTCAGCACCTGTATCATGAAGGGGTCCGCTCCCCTGAATCAATGTGGTGTTTTCNCGCCGCTCGCGAGGCCGCGATGGCGGAGGCAGAGAATGCTCCTGGGCACAGCGACATCGTACACGATGATGGCGTCGAGGCCCAGGAGTAGCTTGAGTTGTCTGCCGAATTAATGGAGTGTATGGGTGACGAGGATGCCGACGGCGATGCAGAGGTGTAGACATCAACGAGATTGCAACTGGTTTTGTTGCGTTGGATTATTGGCGTATTGGCGTTTGCTTTCAGCACCTGTATCATGAAGGGGTCCTCTCCCCTGAATCAATGTGGTGTTTTGAGTCATTGCATGTTGCAGATTCCAAGGGAATGGCAGTTTTTATGTTTTCATTCGTTCTGTGTGGTGTCTTCAGCTCAATCGTCAATGAGCAAGGTTGAAGTGTTACGGTCGATAATACATGATAATTTATTTACACCAACAACATTTCATTCAGCATTTATTTTCTTGCATGGCGATCCCAGTGATGCGGTTCGTTTGAGCTGTGGGTGGTGGACATAAGCAGCCATTTGCTCAAGATATCAAACAACCTGGGCCAAATTTTCCGCCGCCGCCAAGGCCGAAATTCGGCACATGTATGTGGCGATTTCTCTTCGGGAAGAACTCTGTTTGTTGTATTTTTNGATGCCGACGGCGATGCAGAGGTGTAGACATCAACGAGATTGCAACTGGTTTTGTTGCGTTGGATTATTGGCGTATTGGCGTTTGCTTTCAGCACCTGTATCATGAAGGGGTCCTCTCCCCTGAATCAATGTGGTGTTTTGAGTCATTGCATGTTGCAGATTCCAAGGGAATGGCAGTTTTTATGTTTTCATTCGTTCTGTGTGGTGTCTTCAGCTCAATCGTCAATGAGCAAGGTTGACGTGTTACGGTCGATAATACATGATAATTTACTAACACCAACAACATTTCATTCAGCATTTCTTTTCTTGCATGGCGATCCCAGTGATGCGGTTCGTTTGAGCTGTGGGTGGTGGACATAAGCAGCCATTTGCTCAAGATATCAAACAACCTGGGCCGAATTTTCCGCCGCCGCCAAGGCCGAAATTCGGCACATGTGGCGATTTCTCTTCGGGAAGAACTTTGTTTTTTGTATATTATTTTCCACGATGACGGCGTTGACACTGCGGTTCATTCAAGCCATCGTGGGTTAACGTGCATGAAAAAACGGCCGAGATATGCTAGGATTCGCGCCATATCTAGAATCTGCCCCGCGGGGTAAAAAATGGCATGATGAAACTTACCACCTTAGCCGTGGAAAGCTTTGGCCGCCTTGGAGAGGAGGGTTACGAG